TATTTGCAACTTTTTGAGAAAGCACCATACTGCTTTCCACTGTGGTTGCACCATTTTACATTCCCACCAACAGTGAATAAGGGTTTCAGTTTATCCACAACCTCGCCAGCATTTGTTGCTTGCTGTTCTGTTAAATTTTGCTATTCTGACTGGAGTGAGATGATATCTCATAGTTGTTTTGATTTGCATCTCTCTTAGAGCTAGGGATTTTGAACGTGTCTTCATGTGCTTTTTGGCCATCTGAATGTCTTCTTTGGTGAAGTGTCTATTCATATCCTGTGCACAACAAGATAAAGGTAAATAATCCAATTGAAAAATGGGCACAGGCTGAGTCTTAAAGGAGAAACAACCAAGCACATTGCAATCAAGTTGGAACCGATGCGTAGCTGACCCTCCATTGGTTCCCAGGCTGTAAATGGGAGGAGCCTGCGCATCTTTTTCCTGCAGAGCTCCTGGTGGATAAGAACCGCCAGAGAGGGATGGGCTTTGGGTTAGCAGCACACATTTCTATGGATTAAACCACCGGAACTCCCTTTTAAAAAGCTTTGAAAGAGAAATCTTTTCATCTTTGAGCGAGACAGATGGTGCGAGATAGAGCAAGGGTCAGATCTGTACTTCACCAGGTCATTTTGAGTCAGAGTAGACTTGATAGCATGTAACAATAAGATGTTTAGGGAAAAAAAGAGAGTGATGTGTAAATATGGAGTCAATAGGTGGCACGGTATTTGGTGAGCACAAAAGAAGCCATGATCAGGGATGCCGGGCCCTGACATGCCACATAAGTTTGATCTTAAGAGCTATAGGAGACCCCTGAGGGATTTTAAAGTGTAGGATTGTCTGATCAGACTTCTATTTTAGGCAGCTTTCATTCTGGAAGTGGTGTGACTCCAGTTAGGGAGACTAAAACCTGAAGGGAAGATAGTAAGAGACTCCGGCAGTAACACTGGTACAAAAAGAGAAATGGATTCACTAATTTGAGATCATGAAGATGAGAAGATGGTGGGTCTAAGTGCCCTGGGAGGTAGAATTGTCAGGGACTAATGAGGAATCTGGTGCAGATGCGTGAAAGAGACAGGAGGTAACAACTTCTCAGCTCTAGGTAGGAGCTGATTGATGGGTAGCTGATGTGGCCATTTGGTGAGGTGCTTAGTTGACTGGAGGGAGTGCTGGTGCCCTAATCCATAGGGTGCTGCGCAGTTGAGTTCATTTTAAAGGAATAATTTGAGGTACTTTGGGACACACGTGTGAATTTGATTTGGAGGAAGTGGCTATGCAGACGAGACTGCCTGTGCTTCATCCTTTCAACCTGTCATCGTCACTGCAGTTGCAAAGAAGGTGCTGTTATTTCCCCCAAGAACAGAAACCCTCCATATTGAACACTTGCCTTGGCACTGATCACTGTGGTTTCCTGATGCCTGTGTGCATGTTTACAAACGATGCTTCTTTGTTTAACTTTGTTGGATGTTCCAGAGGTTAAAGGTCTGCCCCAGAGCTGAATGGATTCTGGCTGAAGACAAGCCAGGGTTGTGCTTCACCGCTGGTCACCAAAGAGGTGTGTGGTTAGAGATGTGACAATCTGTGAAAGGTCTCTTATACGCGGGCACAATTAGGAAAATAACAACCACATACACACTCACACACATTCATTAGCAGTATTGGAAGCAGGGAGTGCTTAGAGTCTTAGGAGAAGGGTAATAGTCCTTTGGAAACACAGACATCTAGGATTGAAATTAGAGAAAATGAGACTATGGGGAAGGATTCGCAGAGGCAGCCGTGAGACCAGAAAGCTGTGATGATATGGGAGAGGCTCCAACTAAAGTTGGAATGGAAAATAATAATGGTTAGAAATATCCTCTAGGCCAATGTCTGACATGGGCAAAGAGGAGTGGGCTAAACTTATGTACAAAATGTTGCCAGAAATTTCTGGGAATGGGTGAGGGTAGGAGACAAATGAAAAATGTGCGGGATTCCTTTCTGCTCTCAATTCCTAAAGGAAACTGCATCCACAAGAGAGAAATGAAATGTTCTCTTTCAGACTTGCACACCTATCCCTGTGGAGCGTGCACCCTACAAGGGAGAAGTTGTCACCCTAAAATCCAAAGAAGAATCAGCATCTGGGATCAGGAAGCAGGCCCACTCCTGAGCTGAGCACTGTCAGGTAAAGGGCTGAGGACAGAGAACACATTCTTGCTTGAGAGCATGTGAATTTGCATTTCTTTCTTCATAAGCATTTGAAGAGTCCAAGGCCAAAAACTTCAAAGTGAAATCTGGCTGAAGGACATTTGAGTCAAGGGAAAAGTTTAGATGAGCACCCTAGATTGAAGAGTCTGGAGATTCATTCTCTGAGATGTTAGCAAAACACTAACATAGAATGACAGATGATAAAGAGAAAATAGGTGGGTCAGGAACAGAGGGACTTGTTATTGAAGAAAATTGGCATGACTTCAAACAGGGAGTACAATTTCATGGTCAAACAATTTATAAACTTATTAGGACTTCATTTAAGAAATCAACCTTTGTTTTATAAACGCAACTGAAAGTGAATGAAAAACAAATCAAATATCTTCAGGGAAAAAAATTTCATTTGTACTGTACTTTATTTCACACTAAAAATTGGAATGATATTTTTGAGACTGTCATTTGTACAAAACTATTTGAGTGGACTAGGGGAGAGGGATTGCAAAACAATGAAAGAGTTTTTCTTTTTCCTTTCAAGGAGAAGAGTGAATTGTGGGGACAGGGTGGGCAGGGAGAAAAGTGCAACAATGAATGACTGGAAACCCTAAGTCTCTGTAAACTTTCATTAAAATTGTTTGACCAAAAACAATTAAAAAAATATTTGAGTGCTTCATCAGTTTTCCTCATAGTCCTTTGACATCGATACCCTTGCTTTGTTATTGTTGTTGTATAATATTGTGTCAGAACCAGTCCATAGCTGACCCCTCTGGTGGATTGTCAAAGGCAGTTTAATCACAGAAGAGGAGTTTCTCCTGGGAGCAGCTGATGGATTTGAACCATGTCTCATTAAGTAGGGGAATGTCAGTGCAACTCCTTACGGCTAGGCCACCACACCTTCCTACCTTTGTCTTGGGAGGCACCAATCTTTGTCATCCTTCATTGATACTGTCTTCGCTAGCTGTTTTCTGGTTGAGCTCAGGTAGATTGATATATGCCAGCTGCTTTGTTAATCTGAAGGAAGCTCTGGTGGCGTTGTGGGTAGAAGTTGTGCTCCTGACCTAAAGGTGGCGCCTCTGAGCTCACCAGCCGCGCCAAGGGAGAACAATAGGCAGCCTCCCCCCATCCATCCCCACCTCCCCCACCCCGGTCCCCCACCCCATGCAGTTTACATCCTCTACAAACGGGCTGGAGGGTCAGCTGGGAGCTGATTCTGACTTCATGACAGTGACTTCAGTGATTTCTAGTTTAATGTCCCTTCCAGTGACTACATGAACGTCTGCGTATTTAGTCAACTTTGCAATTTCACTAGGCTGTGACCATTTTCAAGTAGGTGATGTATTTTCTGCACGAAGCCGTACACGAGAGGTGGACGTGATAGAGAAGCTAAATGTTCTCATTAATTAGGGGCATTTTGAGACAGTGGACTAGTTCTGATGCTCAGATAAGCACTGCACATTTCCACATTCCGACAGCCTACCTTGTGCAAATAAATTCAGTGACTTCAGGGATGTGGACAATGAATTCTTGAATAACAAAGCCCTCTGTACTGTGTCCTGTGCTCTCATCACTGAATGTGTGCCTTTAATAACGTTTTGTAGTTTCAACTTGCTTATCAGTTCCAAAGAACTGGAATTATTCTTCCAATCTGGGAAGACTGGGGTAAAGATTTCCAGTAAGGTTAGCAGGGGAGAGGTGTGCTAGAAAATGCTATTAACAGCACTGACTTTGATTATAGCATTTCTTGGAGGTTAGGCTTCGGTTCCGCATCCTTTGTGAGGGAGAATGTTACACTGAGTTCCTTTCATTCTGTTCAAAGGTGAAATCAGAAGAGAGGATGCTGCTGTTCCCATCACAGCCAAGCGTCGTCAGCCCGTGGAGAAGCAGGCTTGATTTCAACTCCCCAAGTCCTTTTTGGAAAAAAAAATAATAATAATAATCGCTCTAGGACACTTTCATTTTCTTTCAGAAGCAATTGCTGGCTTTCTTACTGTGACTTTGTTGTTGTGGAAAATTGAAGACATAAATGATTATTATTGTGATGAAAAGTCTGTGTGAAAATTCACTGGTGGTACTTTAAAATACTGTCTTTGCTTGTACTAGTTTCCTGGCTTTGAATTTTTTTAAAAACCCCTGTCTTGACTAAAGCTGCATTGAAGTGGCTACATTTAAAAAATAACTACAAAGATGAGTTGATATTTTACAGTAATTAATACACACTCAGATCTCTTTTTTCATGTCTTCTTATCTGAATTCTATGGGGCCTCATAATGGTTTCCTAGAACTATAGTAACAAATCAGGCAAAAATTGATGACTTAAAACAATAGACATATATTCTTTTTCAGTTCTGGAAGCCAGGCATCTAAAATCAGGTGTCAGCAGGCACAGGGTCTTTCCAGAGATTCTAAGACCCTTCCTTGGCTCTTTCAGCTTCTGGTGGCTCTGGGTATTCCTTGGGTTTCTTTGATTAATTCCAGTCTCTGACTCTGTCTTCACACCTTTGTGTCATCATATACCCATCTCGTCCATGCCCATGTCTTCTTTTCTTGTAGGGACCCTGCCATTATATTTAAGGTCCACGTAGGTAATCCAATAGAGAAATGATGATAGTTCTAGAACAGGGTTCAGATCTTTTGTCCATAGTGTTGCTAAGAGTCATACTTGACCCAATGGCACTTAACAACAACAACAGGTAATCCAAGATGACCTCAAAATCCTTAATTAAACCTGAGAATAGTGAGGAAAGTTAAAGAGACATGGAAACAGAATCCAAAGGATTAATGGGCCACACAAACATCAGCCTTCTTGGGCCTGAGACTAGAAGAACTAGATAAGGCCTGACTATTACTGCTGACCACTCTGAGAAGGTTCATAGTAGGTGGTCGTGGATAGAGTGAGAGAAAAATGGGGAACAAACTTTAATAAGAAAAGGACAGACTCAAAGGTAAGATAGTGAAATTCTCAGGTGGAATTCTTGAGCCTGTAGCCCTTTGATCCCCTTCATGAGATGGACTCCCTCAATGGCTCAGCAGTCAACCACATAATAGATAATTCTATAAGGTGAACAACAACATCACCAGTCAATACCCTACATTTTCTACCTCTTGGCAAATTGGTTTTTAGGACATCATTTTCTGTGTCACATATGCTTCATCAGCTCCTGAAGAGATTCATCAGCAAATCCCAGGTAATACATTGGACACTCGAGAGGTCCTCACTCCTTAGGATAGTAAACCATTGGAAACCCAAAAGGCAGCAGAGTTGTTCAGGGACAAAGTTCAGAAGACAGATAGGATAGGAAAGAAGAGGTGATGTAAAAGGGAAACAGCGGACAGAAGTGGGATGAGGGATATTATGTTTTGGTTATTGTAATCAGGGCTTTGGAAAAAATAAATATTTTTTTCCTTTTTAAAATGTTATTTACTAAAAAATGGAGCTGCTCTGTAAAAGTTCACCCAAATCACAATTAAAAAATTTAAAAATTTTTCTTTTCATCTGTGAAGATCCCTTTTCCAAATAAAGTAACATTTATAAGATCTTGAAATATTGACATGGAAATTTTTTCAAGTTCATCATTCAATACACTATACTTTGTACCTATCAGGAGGCTGTTTTTTATTTGACTACATAATTTTCTACATGACATTAGCTTCAGAAACTCTTAAAGAGATTTTTCTGCATACCCCATGTAATAAATTGGATACTCAAATTTAGAATAAATCCATGGCAAAGAATCCAGTCATACCTATGAAGGCAAGATTTGAAAGAATTAAATGGCATCAACAGGACTAAAAGCTGCTGCCTGATGCCTTCCCTCTTCTCTGCTTCTCAGTCTGTACTATGATCCTTTTTGTGTGTTCAGAGAGTTAGCAGAGAAGCTGAGTTTATATTTCTTTTCCTAGGTAAGTAGGTCAAGAGGGATTTTAGAACATGGGGTAAAATCAGGACAAATATACTCTCATTATAGATATATCTTCCCCTAAGGTATTCACTTAAATAAAGGGTAGATTTACACCAAGGCTTTGAACCAGTTCAGACTGGCTCAGTCATGGCCAACACAGCAAAATTGGAGCAAAAATTAATTTGTAAGAATGTGGCTGTACCAGAATGACAACCAGAACAGAAAAAAATTATGAGTTGAAGCTTAAGAATGGGGAATATGGAAGAAGCATGATTCAGGAAATTATACACTTTTGAAGTATTGTAGTCAGCCTTCATATCTGAGCTGGGTACTGCTATTTCTTACTCTGCCAGACAAGAGACTCATCTATTAACTATACGCTATGCACCCTGAATTCTCTAAGAGGGAGACTAGGTTTCCAGTAGGGTGTTGACTCATAAATTTTTCTGTTCTGTGATTTTGGTATATCTGCATTTAGCAAATAGGAATCCATTTCAGTTTCACTTCATCAGCTATAACAGAACTGAGCAAAACCAATCTGTAAACTTTATTTGCATATTAGATAAAATGAAATAAGACTCTAATTTTCCCAATAGTGATTTGCTTTGAACATACAGAAGAAAGGATGGTGATTGGAACCTGAGGAACCTTCTCATCTACTCCTCACTTACCAACATGGTCAGATACCAAACATTAGGTTCTTATAACAAAATCTACCTTGAGTGAAAATGGGAGAAGACTATAGCAATTCATAAGATTGAAAATGAAAGTTAAGTCATTATAAAACAAATCATGTCATTACATCACTGCCAAGCCACCAAAAATTATGGCCAAATTGATACATAACCTTAATAATCACAGCCATTGATACCCTTGGCTTGCACTTTGACAACTGTTACCACCAGACATACATCATTAACACAAAAAAGAGTTTGATAGTACATTTCCCACTAATATCATAAATGTGAAATGTCAGATAATATGACAGTTATGTGAAATGGCCACAAGTGAGGAGCAGATGAGGTTCAAACGATAGCTTTTTTTCTCAGATAAAAGACACCTTAAA